ACCAGTCAATGTTTCTCTCTCCCCCCCTTCCACTCTCTGCAAAGCAATGGAAAAAATATCCTTGAGTGAGGATTAACAAGAAAAAAGAAAAAAAAAGAATTTATATAGTCAAATTAAGAAGCAATCTTAAAAATGAAGGCCATTTCATTCGGTGCCTTTTATTGGGAACTTCTAGAGAGATATAACAGTTTCTAACCCTCTACTTTTTAAACAGTGGCTGCATAGACCACAGCCATGACCACATGATCAAAGCATTTTTGGGGGGGAAAAAAATCACAAAATAAGCACACGTAAGACTATATCAGTTTTTACAGCTATGGTTCGTTCTATACTTTGGTCAAATGTTTTCAACAAGTGAAACACTCCTGGTAACTCAAACTTTGTGCATTATTTGGATTAATATTTTTTAAATATTCTTGACAATAACATACTATTTACCCCACTTTAAATGATTCTTACATTTTATAATATTTTTATCACCATATTTCCTAGAATCTTTGTGGTAGTTTTTAATATCCTGCAAGACTTCTTTTCTTTAAAACCAAAAAAATCTTTCAGGTGCTAAATAGTTGTAATGCTCTATTATTTAACATCTGGATTTTAAATCTTTGGGTCAGAAGACTATCTTTTTTCCTCCCTTATGTTCCTTAAAGCAGCACTATGGAAGAATCCTTACTGTTCATGATATTGAAGGTGTGATGATGGTGCAGTTGAAACACAAGACAGAAGAGCATTAGTTGCAGCACCTGTATTTCTGTGTGTTTTTTTGTTGTTGTTAAGATGTTCTAATAAATATTACCTTAACCTGGTTAGAAAACTGTAACTACTTTACCATTTTAAAGTATTTATTAAATTTTAATTAATAGCAGGAAGGGAGCATTTTATCTCAGTACTTTAAAAGGTGCAGCACTTACTGATCTTCTTTATAAATTTTATTAAATTTACTGGAGTGCCATTGGTTAAAAGATTATATAAGTTTCAAGCATGAAGTTCTAGAACACACTGCTTTTATATTGCACCGTGTGCTTACCAGAGCGTAGTCTCGCCCATCACCATATATTTGACCCCCGTTCCCCTCATCTTTTTAAAAGGACAGTAATACCACTGAAGCGGTCACCTCTCAGATAAAACAGCGCAGCCTGGAAACCGTCCAGTGCGCGCTTCTCAGGTCACAGACACACTTTCTTCAATTCCCAGTTACTCTCCTCAGCGCTTCTTCGGTCGCTGAGCTGTTTCCTTCCCACGGTCGTGCTCTCGGGGGTTACCTGGCCGTGGGTTAAGCGCCAGTTGCCACAGGCTGGTGTTTGGGGGTGACCTTTCCAGTCACACTGGCATTTTGGTAGGACTTTCAGCACAGGGAAGTAAAGCGTAATATCATGTTCTCAGTAGGATAAAATGTCACCATCCCTTTCCGAGGCATTAAGGGATCAGGGGCAATGCCTTTCAAGAAGCTGCCCTCCTCGGAAGCCCTGAACTCTGGAGCGGGGTCGGGCGGCGCTGCTCTGTGGGCCGGTGCACCGAGAAGCGGCCGCCGGCGGGCACAGCGGGGAGGAAACCGCCGGGAGACGCTCTGAAAGCATAAAAGACAGCGTTTCGGGGGCAGGAGCTCTGATGCTTTGGCAGTGTCTCTTCATCGAGTCTCCAGGATTCCAGGGATAAATCGGGGGGAAACTTTTTATTGCCCCATTATTACTGCTACCTAAACCTACTCTGTCATTCTTTTACTTGAACTAACCACAATCATGATTTGCCATTCTAATAAAAAGGGAATTATACTGGCGAAGAGACATTCAGTCGTATTGAACTAATAAACTATCTGTCGTTGGAGAAATCATTTATACTTTCTGTGCCTCAGTTTACTCACCTAGCAGGGATAATCTCTATGTTAGTCCTGTAAGCTTATGATTCCATGAGTTCTCTTAGGAAAATGGGAAACATAGTTTCCCTTCATAAGGCAGGCCTTTAATTATGATTTTTATTATTGTACAAAGTGAGGCATAGTTTTTATCTTTGATAGGAATCTTTGTATTGGATTAGATAAGTAAATGTTTATAAAATAAAATGTTTATAAGAGCAGTTTTTTTAAAGAAGTAAATGCTTATAAAAATAAATTCTTCCATTGATGGTCTTTCTGCACTATCTTCTGTTGTTAGCTTTCTTCTCAATAGATGGTGCTATTTTCTCAGAGACGCTACTGATTCCTCATCAAAAGACCTGGGAAATCAGTATTGCTCCGTAATGGCCATTAATTAAAGAAATCAGATATATAAGTAGAAAGAATCTATTACAAGCCAACATGTGGTACCTAGATAATGAAAGCATCACGGAGAAAACAAATTGTTAAATGATTAAAGAGCCCCTGCTGAAACCTGCAATATTTGCTGAATAGATGAAGCCAATACCGTAGCCAAATGTGAAAATTCCATGTTCACTACATGCATAGAACACATAGAACCCCGAGCAGGAAGAAAATCTTAAATTGGGGATGGTTTTAAAGTGTTAAAATCTTTACCTGATTACTTCAACAAGAGTGAGTAATCAGTAGTCCACGTTAACATGCAGGGTTCAAATGCACACATCAGCACTAACACAATCTGCATCGATCTCAGCTAATACTGAGAGCTGGCACACACTGTGCCAACTCAACCTGGTGCGTCTGGGACACAGAAAATGGGCCACCAACTCTTTTGAAACAATTTCCCTGGATAAAGACACTTTTTATTTTTGCAGAGCAACCATGACAACTTCCTATATAATAGTTTATAACCCGGTTTTATGCTGCTTCTGGTCACTTCTAACTGGTTCCCCTTTGGAGGCACTGAAACAGCCACATCCTGCCCTTCTCCTGAGCCCAGTCCAGCTGTGACGCCCACCCCTGGCCAATCCACAGCTGCTAACTGAAAACTGGCAACACAACTGTCATTTGTTACAACAAAGCAACACTGTGGAGAGAACACAGGAAAACTTCCTCTGTGCCTGTGGCCACAGGATGGAAGGATATGGGGTGAGGGCTGCAAGGAGGAGGGGTGGGGAGGGTGGGGACCGTGCAGCAGACTG